CAGCCTGAACCCCAAGGAGCTGTACATACATCCAGGGGAAGGTGCTTTCTGTCAAATGCAGGGTGGGAGAGGCCTCCTGTGCAATGGGGCCCATGATCCCCATGATAGGTGTTTTTGTTTTTTGTTTTGGCTCCGAATGCCCTCAGGGGTGGTTTGGCTGGCTGGAGTGTTGTGGGGATCGAACTGCAGCACCCTGAGGCTGACAGCTTTGTGGAAGCAGCCACTTAAAGAACTGAGCTAGGGCCAGGCCCCCATCGGTGTATTTTTAAAACTGCATTTAACCTGGGTGCGGTAGGCGCACTTCTGTGATCCCAACACTACTCAGGGAGGCTGGGGCAGGATGATCGCCATGAGTTGGATGCCAGCCTGGGCTACACCGTGAGTTCAAGGGCAACCTGGATGACACAGTAGAACCTGCCTCATCACTAGTTGTTGCAGCACTGAGGCTTGAACCCAGGGCCTAAGCTCCAGTCCCAGCCATTGTCTTTTTTTGTTTTGAGATGAGGTCTCACTAAATCGCGGAAGCACAGTTCAAAATTGTCATCCTCCTGCCCCCGCCTCCCAGAGTGCTAGGATTCCAGGCCTGAGCCCCAAACCTAGCTGAAGCGACGGTCTGAAGAGGCAGAGCGATCTGGGCCAGAGGGGCCGCAGCAGCCAAGCCAGTCACTCACACTGTCACAACCACAGCCAAGCACAGCCAGCCGCAGCCACAGTCTCCCGACAGTCTGAGTGGGTGGCTGTGACTCCTTCCACAGACAGAAGTCTGGGAGCCCCTGGGGGAACTAGGCCATCAGAGACCACACACACTCAGCCTGAAAGGGCCCCCAAGTCGGCCCCCCAAGTTCCCCTCCCAAATGCAGGCCTAGAGGGGAGGGGCGGCTCTCTCCCACAAGAACCAGGGGAAGAGCCTACGGCGGCTATCACCATGACAACCAACAACAAACATCCCAGGAACCACAGTGGGACAGGAAGTGATATCCACGTGACAGGAAGACTTTTTTCTCACAGTTGGGAGGGGTAAGGGAGATGGTTTGCAGCCCCCGGGGAGCTAGCAGGCCCAAATCTCCCCTTCGGAGCTGGAAGGTGGGGGGCCTGGACAAGGGCCCCGCGGTGGGCACGGTCGTCGGGCCCTCCCTCCCCGCCTGCCACTCACTCGCGGTCCCCCCCTCTGGTCCCCTCCTGTCCACTTCCTGCCGTGACTGCAGATCACAGAACTCCACACCGCAGCTTCCCCTTCTCAAGTCTCGATTCCTGGACTGAAGAGTTTCACTGTGGGGCAAGGCACAGGGGGACAGAGGATTGGGGACCCGCAGTAGGACCCAGGGGATGGACGCTCTGGGAGGAGAGGCCGGGAGGAAGCCGCGGAGCGGGTCACCGTGACACCCGCCGCCGGTAGGTACAGTGACACACACACTGCCTGACCTCGGGCAGCTCTGGAGAGGCGCAGAGGCCGAGGGGCCGAGGCTCCGCCAGGGCACCCTTCCCTCGGGTGTGTGAGCCTTGGGGTTCATCTCAGGTGTCTGGCCCCGGGCAGGCGAGTTCCCAGCCGTGCCCAGCCGCGAGCGCCTCTCCTGCCTCTGGCGCTGAGGGATCCCCGCCTCCTCCAAGGTGCCCGTCCAGACGAGGGCACCTTGGCTGGAGGTGGGGGGAGTGGAACCTCCCTCTGCCCCCTCCCCTTCCCTGCAGATGTCCCGGACTATATTTAGCCCAAACCGGGCGGCCAGCCAAACCCAGACTCCCCACTGGCCTGGAGCTGAGTTCCCAGTTTTTATGCAATTAAAACATTAACCGAGAACCACCCCATCCACTGCCCCAACACACGCACACCCTGCCCTGGCGGGGACCAGAGCTCTGAAGGCTTGAAGGCAGTAGGCAGCCCAGCCCTGCAGTCTTCGACACGGTGGCCACAGGACAGGAGAACGGGCTGACACTCCAGGAGTGGGGGGCGGGCTCTCCTCCAGCGGGAAAGGAGACCCATCCCGTGAGGAGCAGGGGGAGGGGCTTGCCGGCTGCAGAAATTCCACCTGTCATTCTGCAGCCCCCTCCATCGCCAGCTCCAGTTACAGGGCTGGGGTTGGCAACAGGTGCTGGCCAGGCTGGCAGCAGGCTAATCCACCTCCCCCCGGGCTCTGCAGTCCGACAGCGGAGCCTGGAGGGCCAGGAGGGCCCCGCAGGGCAGGATGCTAAGCAGGAGGCCGCATCACTGTCCCCAGGGATGGTCAGTGGCCTTCTGTAGGGCCCCTCCCGGTGAGCTACAGCGCCTGGGGAAGCCAGGAAAAACTTCGTTCCACAGCACCTATTTCATTTCCCTATGATGCCAGGCGGGCTAGAGCGTGGGAGGTCTGTCTGCCTCTTCCTCCTCCTCCTCCTCCTCCTCCTCCTCTCCAAATTCCAGGAAGAGGCAAGGGAGGCTCCACTTGCGGAGAGAGGGGGAGCAGGCGGGCATCCCAGCTAGGGGGGGCTGGAGGGAGCAGGAGGCACGATCCAGACAGCGAGAGACACCCACGCCCAAACTAGACTGGGGACAGACACACCGACGTGACACATTCTCACACTCTGGGCTAGGTCCCCACACGGCGCCCACCCTGCAGGGACATCCAGACACCCTCAGCCAACCATGCCAAGTCCCAGCACACTCCCTGGACACACACGGAGATCTGGGCCTGCCTCCCTCCTCCCCACATCCCCCCAAACCGTGTGGGCTGCAGACAGCAGCCGGAGGGAGGAGACGGCAGGCGTCAGAGAGGGTGTGCGGCCAGGCCTGGGAGCCAGGGGTATCAGTTGCCACACTCCTTTCCCCAAACCCAGTTAAACCAAGACAGCCCTGGACATCTTGCCAGGGACCTTGCCAGCTTCCCACACTCATCAAGCCCCACCCCAGCTGGGATCAGGGTGTGGGGCACATGGAGACTCCCCAGCTCCTGTCACAAAGCTAGGACCCCCTTCCCCAGAGCACACAGAGGAGACTCCAACAAGCCCACCCCTGCACCCAGACTTTGGCCTCCCAAAGGACCAGGACCTGGCACCCAGGCTTGTATCTGGGGACATAGCCCACCTACCTCACCACACAGTTCTGAAGACCATCCCACCTAAAAGTGGCCTGGGAAGAAAGGTCCCCAGAGAGCAGAACTGCCACCGTCAGAAATCATCTGGGTCACTGTCCCCAAAACAGGCCTGAAGGCCACTCAGACAGTGTCCTCTCCCCCACACGAGATGGGGTGGCAGGAACCGCGTCATGGCATATGTGGGTGACTGTGCCCAGCGGGGGAGGCACAGGGTGATCAGGATGGGGCTGCCTACAGCTAGCTTCCTGCCAGGCTGCCACATGGCTGGAAGTAGTAGGAGGGGAACTAGAGAAGTGTCCCAGAGTGGCAGCAAGAGCATTCGGGGTCACGCTAAAGAGACAGAGACTTGGGGGCTACAGGAGGAGGTGGGCAAGCGCAGGGTCCCCAGAATCTGCTGCTGCATGGGTCCAAGCCTGCAGTGACGCCTCCTGTTCACACCCCCAAAGTCCCTGCACACCCAATGTCCTTGGATCCCAAGGGCCTCGTGGAGTCTGAGCCCACTGACCTCTCTGCTTTATGACCCAGACTCGGGCAGACCTCCCGGAGACCCTCTGCACAGCACAGCTCCAAACGCCAGGGCTCCACTGCACCATCTCCCGGGAGGCAGAACCGGGCTTGCAACTCCAAGTACCCTGCCTTTTTCTCCCTCCCCCAGACTCATCTCTACTCACCAGGGGAAGCCCTGAGGCTCCAAGCCACCCCCACTCCAACCTGGGGCTGCCCCCACAGGGATTCTAGGAGTTCTGAGGCCTCAATCCATTTCCCAGCGGGAGGAGGAGAGACCCTGACTGAACCAGCTCTTCCCAAACAACCTTGCCCTATGAAGCCGCAGTCAGAGAAAGGGATGAGAAATCCCGGACTCTCCCCACTGGGGGGTGGGGAGGTGAGGGTCAGGAACAGAAGCTAAGATTGGGGTCGAGGGGAAGGTCTCAACAGCTTTGCAAAACACCTGCAAGTGCACACACAAACACACACACATGCACAAAGGCAGCCTCGCAGGGGGGTACCGTGGTTACCTAAGGGGAAGCTGGTCTAAGGTGGGGGCTGAGGGCAGCCCTCCGTGCTAGCACACTGGGGATCCTAAGACAGGGAACAGGGAAGGAAACTTCTCCAAGCCTGGGGGGCTCTGCGGTCTGATTTCCAAGAGAGCTGGTCTGCACCCCACCTGGCACCCAGCAGTGGTCTGTCTCCCTGCCCAGCAGCAGCCTGACAAGAGCCAAGCTGATGTGCTTGCTTCCCACCCCCCGCCAGACACATACACACATCTGGCTAGCAGCTTCCAAGCCTCGTGGGTGGCACCCGGTCCCAGACATCCTCAGCAGAGCAAGGTCGGGAAGTCTGCTGCTCAGTTCTCCCCTCACCCAAAAAGGCTTCCACAACCCCGGCAGCACAAGACCTGCGGACAACCCCAATCAACGGCACCAGCTCCAGCACGCTGCACCCCAAGACCCTCTACCCAGCTCCACAGGGGCACCAGCTGAGCGGGCCCCGCCCCCAGCCCGTCCATCCACTAATAGGGGGCTGGCGGGTTCTCCCCCAAACCACAGGGCGGCTCAGGTAACTGAGGGGTGGGGGGACAGGGAGGAAGGGGCTGGTCTGTGGGGCTTCTGATCTCTCCCCAAACAGGTTTGAAAGTCTTTGTTTGGCTTGGTTTTGGAGAGAAAAGAGAAAGGAACTCCTGGCGGCTGGTCTGCCTCGCTCGAGCCTCGGGAGTCTCGCGGCGGGCGCCCCAAGTCTCCAGGCTGTGTGCGAGGGCTGGGCGCAGACGGGGCTCCCCGCCCTGCACTCGGCGGGGGCGGGCTGGGCGCCCCGGGAACCACGGCGCCGAGGGGACCCGCCCGCACCCGTTCCCGACCCAGTTCCCATCTCAAGCAGGCCACGGGGCTCCGATCCCACGGCAGCCCCGGGCTCCCCAGGTACCCCGGGAGCGGTTACCTCGCGGCGGGGCCATGCAGCCCGTCCGGGTGCCCGCAGGCACGGAGTCCGTCCGAACCCGGCACCTCGGCGCCTTGTCGGGGTGCGGGGTCCCGAGAGAGCGGCCGTCCGGGGGGCCGCGGCTCAGGGGCGCGGGGCGACGGCCGCAGCCATGGCGAGTCACGTGCAGAGGCTGAAACTTTACCCGGAGCCCCAGACTAAGGGGGGGGCGGCGGGGACCGAGCCGGGTGGGCAGGCCCCGCCCTAACCCCGCCTCTACCCTCCTCCGGCCAATCACGGTTAAGGGGCGGGGCCCCGGGCTCCAGCCGGCCGGGTCTCCTTTACAGACCCGGGGAAAGGGCGAGTCTTAAAGGAGCCGCTCGCTACAGAAGGCTGGACCGTGGGAATCTGGGAGATTCCCTCCCTCTGAGCCAGAATGGGAGATTCAGAGCAGGGGGGGGTGAAGTTCTGCGGAAAGAATGGAAATAAGACTCGGTGGAGAAAGGGCCGCAGTGTGTGGTAACCCACACTCCCTTCCCCAGCCACATGCCCACACACACACACACACACACACACACACCCTCTCCTAAGCCCGGGAAGAGAGGAGGCGGCGAATGTGGAAGCGAACGCACCGACTCAAGCCCGACTGCCAAAACCCGTCTGTCCTAATGACAGTCCTCCACGGACCCGCTGAAACTAAGCTGTGTGACCTTGAGTGAGTCTCTTCCCCTCCTGGATCTGAAATTTCTCATCTGCAAAAAAGGAGAGCCGATCTCCTGCACAAACGCCGTCTTTCACCCCTTGACCAGGTGAACTGGTGTCCCCAAGAAGTACCCTTCCCAAAGAGCAGTGCCTAGAGCTCTCGGCAGGGGGGCCCTCGAGCACCCCTCCAGCGAGCCGCCTTGGAGAGCAGCTCTCTACGAGATCTGAGCCGCTCCAAAGGCAGCCCCCAGCTCTGGCGCGGCCTCAACCCCTCCCACCTGCTGCCCTGTTGGGACTACCGCGGTCCCCCGGGAGTGGGAAGGCAGATTCACTAGGAGACCCACACACACAGCGCTCCCAGGCAGAGCCATGGCCGCAGGTGCCGGCAGGATTCCCACGGGAAAGACCAGCGTCACTACCCCGGGGCTTGCGCCCCAGGGAGGACCTCGCGGGGTGACAAGGGCAGAATCCTCGGGCAGAATCCTCAAGCCCACCGACCCTGGAGCCCCCGCCTTACAGAGAGGGCCGGGAGGCCAGAGGCGGCCACCCGGTTTTTATGCACACCAGCCCAGTCTAGAACTGGGGTTCTGTTGTCTGTCTTTAGCCCAGCAGCCTGGGAAGGGCACGCGGGCCCGGCCTGCGGGACGCTCTGTCTTGGGGTCTGGTGAGGGGGAAACTACAGGCAGCGCCTCCCAGGCTCCTTCCCGCCGCGACCTAGCTGTCTCGGGCTCCCGTCTGGATTTCCGTCTGCCGGTGCGAGCCCCCCCCCCCCCGCCCCCCACCCCCGTCCCGTCCAGATCCATCCGCAAACATGCGCTCAGCAGGCAAGAATGCGCCAATGGCTCCCATATGTGGACGCCGACGCTTAACCCCTTCTCCCCCAGCACCCCACCCCGAGGGCCGGCAGCCTGAGCTCCACTAACAGCAGGAGCCTAGAAAGAGTCTCAGCCTCTGCCCACTTCCAATGGCCACAGGCTCCACCCCGCCTGGATGCAGCGGGCAGCGAGTCCAGGGAAGAGAAGATGCACGCAAGTGCGCACACAGCTCCCAGCCTCCCGAGGGGAAGCCCTTCATCTGCCTGCTAATGCTGGAGCCAGGCACTCCTTGCATGTGAGGGCCCCGAGCATCCCCCCACATGCACAGCCAGGTGCATTTACTCCCAGGATATGTGCACACGCGTGCAGTGTGCACACACAGGCGCGAAGCAGGAGGCACCAATCCAGGCACAGATGAGGGAGGAGCCCTGCGCACACAAACCCACCCCCAAGGGTCAGTCACACAGAAACACAGCCTTGGGAGCACCCTCTCCTGCCTGGGGCGCCCAGTCCCACCTGTCAAAGGCTTGACCCTACCCAAGCTCCTCTTTGGGAGGCAGAGGAGTCCCCAAGTGGGAGCTAGGAGTCCTCACTCCAGTTGTGCTGGTCTCTCTACAAGACATCACAGATTAACACAGGGCACAGAGGCAGGCCCAGGGTGCAGGGCTCTTTGGGAGCGCGGCCTCCCCTCCCCTGTGCACAGGAGGAACCCTGGGGGAGGACCTGGCCACTGATTTCTCAAGATAAAGATCCTTCTCAAATAGAGGAAGCCAGTCAGGCGGAGTGGCGTGGCACACGCCTGCAGACTTTACTGAGGGAGTCTAAGCCAGGAGGGGCGTGAGTGTGAGAAGAGTCCGGGCAACTTCCTAAGATCCATTTTGCAAATAAAAAATAAAAGGAGTTGGGAATGCAGTTCAGTGGCACAGCACCCTGCTTCAATCTCCAGCAGCCCCCCACCCCCTAAAAAAGAGGAAGCACAGAGACCACGGGTAGGCAGTGGCTAAGGCCAGCTCCAGGCAGTCGGAGGAACTGTAAGACAGCCCTGGGAGTGCCAGGCTTCCAGCCAAATAAGGCCCCCTCACGGCACGAGGCATGCAGTGGACACGAAGGAGCACCCTGGAGCAGTGGTCCTTCTACAACTGCTGTGTGCAGGCGAGATACCCGCTAGAACCAGCCCCACCTTGGCCCTCTCCTCTCCCACCTCTCAACTCATCCAAAAAGGAACAGGCAAGGTTCCTGCTTCCATTGTACAGATGAGGAAACTGAGGCTCAGAAACTGCTCTGCAACCAGGCACGATGGAGCACACCTGCTGTCGCAGCACTTGGGAGACTGAGGCAGGAGGGTTGCCACTAGTTCAAGGCCAGCCTGGGGTATATAGCAAGACCCTGACTCAAAACACCAAAAATAGCTCGATTCCATCCCCCGGCCCACCCAGCTGACCACCAAAACTCAGTGTAGTGGCGCACACCCGTAATCCCAGCGCGGGGTAAACTGAGATAGGAGGGTCACTATGAGTCTGAGCTGTGTAGCAAGACCCTGCACCAAATAAGTAAATTTAAAAAAAGAAGTCTGAGTCTAGCCTGAGCAATTTAGTGACTTAGAACCTGTCTCAAAAATCTGAGCTTTAGGGGCTGGAGAGATGGCTCAGTGGTCTAAAGCACCTACTTGGAACAAGCTTAGC